TTAGCCTCATCCTTTTGGAAGGTCCAATCCTCCTCGGGGAGCAAGGCTTCTTGGCAGGCCACAGAAGCCCCATACTGGAGTATCAACTCTCTGGCTCCTGGGCTGCTTCTCCGTGCAAGCCTCTCTGAGAGCTGCAGTCTATCCCCATGGTCTCCTCCACAGGCCCAGAGCCTCCTGGGCTCCTCCTTCCCACCATGCCTGGTTCAAGGGTGTGTCCTTTACTCCCCAATGATGGCCTCTTCTCTTCTCCACGGACTGCTGTTAATGGGAGAAGAAGGTGCCGGATGCTTCCTGTACAGTTCAGGAGGTGACCTTCTGCCCTGTTTGATCAGATTCCACCTTGTTCTTGACGGGACCTCCCTTGTGGTCTCAGAAATGTCCAAATGTTGCCAAAACCACCTCGCCTTTTCTTTTTCTCCTGTGAAGCGCTCTGAAACCATTGCCTTAAACCCATCCTGTTTCCACTGATTAAAGCTCATACACTTCATCCACAGAGAACACATTTTCTTTTATTTATTTACCATTTATTTTTATACATAATATTCTACATATTTGTGGGGTACCTGTGATATCTTATGCCCATAGAATGTGGAATGAGCAAGTTCAAGGTATTTGGGGTAACCATTACTTTGAGTATTTATTATTTCCATGTATTGGGAAAAATTTTGGTTCTCTTCTAGCTACTTTGAATTATACAATACATTGTTGTTAACTCTAGTCACCCTACTCTGCTGCGGAACAACTGAATTTCTACCTTTCATCTAACTGTATGTTCATACCCATTAACTCACTGGTCTTCACTCACCCTTCCACTCACCCAGCCCTTCCCATCCCCTAGTACTTGTCATTCTACTCTCTGCTTTTAAGAGGTGAACTTCCACAGCTTCCATGAGTGAGGATCTGCAGTTTCTTTCTGTGCCTGACATGGGGACCCCTGTTCCAGCCATGTTGTTACAGACGACAGGCTCTTGCTCTTTCTTATGGCCGAGTAGCATTCCGTTGTGTGCACATGCCATTTTCTTTATCCATTCCTTTGTTGACGGACACAGGTTAATTCTGTATCTTTGCTGTCTTTGCTGAAGTAAACATGGGAGTGCAGGTATCTTTTTGATACAGTGATTTCCTTTGAGTAAATACCCAGTGGTGGGATTGCTGGATCATATGGCGTCGTTCTGTTTTTTCTTTTTGAGAAATCTCCATACTGTGTTTGTGGTTGTACTAGTTTACATTCCCTCCAATAGCACATGAGAGTTCCCTTTCCTCGGCATCCTCACCGGCATCTGTCTGTTTTTTTTGGTCTTTTTAATGTCCATTTAAGCTGGGGTAAGGTGGTATCTCATTGTGGTTTTGATTTGTGTTTTCCCTGAGGATGAGTGATGCTGAGCATTTTTTCATATACCTGTTGGCCATTTGCATGCTTTCTTTTGAGAAATGTCTCTTCGCATCCTTTGCCTACTTTTTCATGGGCTTATTTATGTTTTTAATTGTTGTTATTTGAGTTCCTTTTGAGTTGTATTTTGGATATTAGTCCCTTATTGGCTGAATAGTTGACAGATATTTCCCCCCATTCAGGATACTGTCTCTTCTCTCTGTTGGTTGTTTTCTTGGCTGTGCAGAAGCTTTTTAGTTTGATACGGTCCCATTTGTCTATTTTTGTTCTTGTTGCCTGTGTTTTTGAGGTCTTGGCTATAAAATCTTTGCCTAGACAGCTGGCCTGAAGTGTTTTCTTTTATCCATTCCTTTGTTGATGGACCCGAAATTTTTACAGTTTCAGGTCTTAGGTTTCAGCCTGTAATCCATCTCCAGCTGAGTTTTTGTATATGGGGTGCACATTTTCTTTTTGATTGACACTGCCGAACAAAGGGCATACAAAATTCTGCAGCTTTTAACATGTCAGTTGACGGTATTACTTGAAGCTTGTTCTCCTCACATCCATGGCAACTTCCAGATACCGTGTCCGGAGTGCTTGTGCTCTCCTGGCCTCCCAACGCCAGTATTAAAATGGGCTTGGATTGCACACCTTAAAACATCGTTCCTGTCTTTCCCACATCCATAAAGTTAATGGTGCAGGGTAATAGCAGTGCAATACACCTGTGTCCTGGGTTTTGGAAATAAGCCTTAGGAAGCCCGGCTGAGCAGGTAGGGGGTTCAGCCTGGAGGGGTCACGGCTGGGGCTGAGACCCAGATTTTCTCCCACAGGTTCATTTCCTTTTCCTTTAAGGTTTTCCTGGCCTTCCTTCTGTCTCTGCAAGTAGAGTACACTGGTGCCATGTGACGTTCTTGAGCCCTGTCATCGAGCTCACTGTGCTTATGCTTTTGAGTGGAAGCTGAACCCTGGTCATGAGCAAGAATGGCCAGACAGGGCTCACAAGGCTTAGTTTATCCAAAGTAGTGACTGCGGGTTTTTCAGTGCAAGAGGCCCTGAAGGGAAGAATTCCTCCTGGTGCCCTTGTACCCTCCTTCTGCCCATGGGAAGTGTTGAGCGTGGCCGCCCCTGTGGTTGGAGGTTCTGGAATAGCAAGCCCTGAAGCTTCAGTCCTCCCCACGATAGGGGCCTGGCCGCATGGGGACTGAGAGCCGCAGCTGGGGTCTGGGGTCCTAGGGATGTGGCCAGCAAGTGTCCAGGCTGAGAGCCTGTCACCAATTGTGCGTGTCAGTGCTCCCAGTGGCTGGCATCTGTGTGGGACCATCCGCCCCAAGCTTTCAGCCTTCTGCCCCAGTGCCAGCCAGCTCTCTGTTCCTGACTGGGGCAGGACGAGCTCCAGGACACATGCTCCTCAGACAGGGAAGAGCATGTAGGGGAGCCACCCAGAAGCAGCCTCCTGCGGAGTCCGTGCGAATGTGGAGCCAGCCTGCTTCCTGGGCTGGTGAGATGGATGCACCCGGGCTCCAGAGTACTCAGGTTTCTGATGAGGGCCCTCCACGCCACAGTGAGGCGTTGACCCCAATGGCATGAGACAGAGGCCTTCCTGGGTGACATAGGAGGCTTCCTGGCACATGGGCTGGCCTGGGCTTTACTGTCTGTGGGAGCCCAGCACATCAGAAGGGGGCTGTGTCACTGTCACTTTTCACTTTATTGGAACTGCTCCTGATTTCTCCCTCATTGCTAAATGGTTGCATTTATCACTGTCTTGGTGTCACTGGGAATTGCAGAGCGTCTTCCAGCTCCCAGCTTTGCTGGGTGGGTTCGTTCCTCAAGGCAAGGAGCTTGTTTCTAAATCAATATCAAGTGCTCCCGACTCTGCCTTCTGCTATGCAGGCTGCAGGGAGGCTTTCCCGAAGAGGGAGGTAGAGGTAGTGTGCCCTCTGGTGACACAGCCATCCCAGCCGGGAGAACCCTGGGGCCTGGTGTTGCCTGGCAGATGCACCTCCACTGGCCTCCTGCTGTTTCAGGTCAGGGAACATGTGGGAGCCTTGAGGGGTGTGAGGCAGGGTGGTCTTGGTGGTTTAGCGGAGCCTGTAACCTGCTGCCTGTGATCACCCCACCTGCTGCTGGTTCTGAGCACCGGCTAGGAGGTGCTGTTGCACATGTGGGCGTATGTACTTGATTTGTATTTGTTACAAATAAATTCTTCCCACTGAGTTAGTGCAAATTTACAGGCCCCTTTGACTAATGCAAAACAACTTAAATATCTCATTCAAATGTTTTAGAAAAAATATCTCTTGGCTTCGAAAGGTTTCCTTTCTTTTGTAATGATAATTTTAGCTCCCCGAGGTTGGAAGCTTTGGGAAACTCTGGAGAGAATGGTAACCACGTTCAAGGCCAGCTTCACCTTTCATCGCCCTCTTAGAGTTGAGTTTCTTTTTGAAGACCTTTCTGTCATAAATGATTTTCCCATGGAGCTGCTTTCTAACCCCCAGTTGGCCTGTGTGGGAGGACAGTTGGGATCTCCCGGTGCCAGCTCCTCTTTCTGCACCCATTGCTGTCCCCACTAGACATCCAGCAAGGGGCCTGTTCCTTGGGTGGGCAGATGAGGCCTCTCTGAGGGGACCTGGAAGGGAGATCCATCTGAGGCTGCTCTGGGGGCCTGGCTGACATAGTGACTGGGACCTTTCCTTCCAGGGGTACAGGTAGCCTCCTTGGCCAGTGTCTGGATCCCTGTTGCCCATTGAGTGATGCGGTACCAGCTTCCAGCGTGGTGCTGGGTGGAGCTCTCACAGCATTGCCCGGCACCTGCTTTCTATGTGGACCTTCGTGTGGTCCATGACAGGTGAAGAGAAAAACGAGGTGCTGCCCCAGGGCTCGAACTCACATGCCACTTGATCAGTCTAGCCAGGGAGGCTTGGCTTTTGTGTCCCCGGTTGTGAGGCTGGGAACGCTCACGCAACACTGGCCTCACTTTGCATGTATGGCTCAGATCCTCGGTGTGTCCTCGTGAGTCCCAGTGTTGAGTTAGAAGATGTTGCTCCAGTCCAGCTCAGCTGCTGCGGATCATTGGGGTGCACTTTGAACGTCGAAGTGGCTGTTTCATGTTGGAGTCTGAGCTTCCTCATTTAAACTGTGGAAAATAGTGAACAACAGGGTTGCTCGGGCATTCACTGAGAATCTAGAATCGTTCTGGAAAGTATAAAGTGCTACACCTGGGGATCTCTGATTTTATTCTTGTTGTTATATGTGGGTCTTCTGAAGGAGAGATGAGAAAAGGAACCTAAAACTCACTGAGCACCTTCCCAGTGCCAGGCGCCTGGTGGGTGCTTTTTAAACATGATTTCATTTCCTCTGAAGAGTGACCCTGTTAGTTAGTGTCTCTATTTCAACAGGTGAAATAAAATCAGAGCTCATTAAAGTAATCTCCTGGCGTTGCATAGGGGTGGGGGCTGTGGCTGACCCCAGGTCATAGTGAGTGCATGCTGCCGTGGACTTGGGTCTGCAGGGTTCCCACATCCTGGGTCCCAGAGCATCAGCTACAGAGGTTGCTTTTGGCCTTCTGTTTCCAATGCAGAATCAGGTTGACTTCCAGGGAACAGCTGGGACTGAGTGTGCCTTCTTTATCCTGCAGGACTCCGGAAGACCTTTCCAGATTCGTGGTGGAGCTGCAGCAGAGGGAGCTTACCTTGAAGGACAAGAACAGCGCCATCACCAGCAGGTAAGCCTGGCTGCCCAGGGCACTTATTAGGATGCATTTGCTTTGGAGAGTTAGGGGCGAGTGAGAGCGTGTGCCCTCCTGGCTCTCTGGGGGATGGCTGTGCTTTACTGTGTGGTTGGTCCTGGTCTGGGATGAGATGGGGGAGCAGGGATTTGAGGGTAGGGCTTGCCCCACGTTTCTATCACTTGCCATGAGCCTCTGCTGAGGCATCACTGTCCATTGTTCTGACGGTGTGCTAAACTGCCATGGGTCTGGGGGTCAGCCTCCTGTTGTGGGGTCCCTCCTTGGATCAGGAGGTTTCTCATCTTCCCAGCAGGATGTGGGTTCCCTGTGACTTCATCATCGTGTAGAGACCTGGTCCCTGGGGCAGGAGCGTATGTGCCTGGACTTGTGCCCTCCAGGAGGGCCTGTGGGGATTGTTCCCACAGCCTGGTGTCCTTGACGGCAGATTACAAAGCTCTTGCTGGGTGGTTTTAGCAGCTGGCACGTTGTTCCCTAGCTAGCAGGAAATCCAGACGTAGGCAGCTGCCAGGCCTCATCTAGGGCCTGGTTTTAGGTTTCTTGCCTCCTGACGGCAGAAGCGAGGAGACCTTCTCAGCACCCTGTCTCCAGCTCTGATATCCCCTGGTCATCTGCGGTTCAGCTCTGTTCTCATGCTAACTACCCAGAGTCAGTGCAGCCCTGCAGGTTGAAGGCTTTGTCCCATGAAGCAGCCCCCTCTCCACTTCAGACGCCATGAATATTTTCCCCTCAGGTTACCCCCACTCCTGTCCAACTACAAAGTTGGGGCACCCCGACCTCCTCCTTGGCCTGGTGCAGGGCTGGGTCAGGGCCAGGCTGTCCCCTGGTACAGGGCTGGGCCAGGGCCCACAGCCTCTGTGGTGCAGGTGCACTGTGTGTCCCAGGTATCATCTGTGGCTGCAGGAGACACTTTTGGGACCAGCCCCAGATGGGATGTACAAAGGGTGGATGGGGACAGGAGCAGGACACAGATGGATCACACGGCTTCTCTGCTGCCAGCCAGAGCACCCCAGCTTCCTGGAGAGGGTGACCATGAAGCCCATGATGAAGGACCCAGTGCCACCCAGAGCTCCTAGCGCATGCCCCGTCACAGCCCTGGAACAGACAGGCATGGCGGGCTGCCACTGCAGGACACGTGAAGACAGCCCATTAAACATAGGCTGGTTCCACACCTTCTGCCAAAGCCCATTTACATCAAGGGGCGCCAAAGCTGAATGGACACGACAAGGCCTCTGCTCATGTCACTGACAACCTCAGGGGCCCCTTGTGCCGAGAGCATGCGGTCAGGACGAGCATGAGACTTGTTGGGAACACACAGCTGAGGCCACGGTCAGTTCAAGGGCGGGCCAGAACCAGCCGTCCCAACCCACCCTCTCACCCACACGGATCCGTGGCAAATTCCATCACCTCAACCTCCCAGATGCCCCCATCGCCGAACCTGACTGATCATCACCACTGGCCACACACAGGAGATATCCTGCCCCACGGAGCCCCCTGGAAAACTTACCCCAGTCATGTCCTTAAGTCTCCCAGAAATTGTTCTTCCCAGTTACCTCAAAAAGTGGCAGTAGGACACAGTGCCAGTGATGACAAGGACTAGCTAGAAATTTGCACTCCACGTCAGCACCATCCACAGGCTTCACAGAGGTGACTGCACTGAGCCTCACAACCCCCTATGGGAGTCACCATCACCAGAAGGACTAGCTCAGAGAGCTACTCCCGGTAGAGCCAAATGCAAACATGGGCCCTGGGCACCTAGGCCAGTGGTTGCTTCTCCAGCAGGCGTCCCCTCAGGTACAAGGAGGACACAGCCCAGCACAGATCTTGTGTGCCTTGCTGGTTTCTGGATAGCTCAAGTGCACCACAATTCACAGATGCCAGGTGACAAGGCCTTGTTACGTCCTTGAGAGGACGGCCTAACCGCCCAGGACCACCAGCAGGGGAGACTCATAACTAGTAAGCTGATTTTCACTCTTGGGAGGTGACAGAAAGCTGAGGCAGGAAGAGACCCAGGAAAACACTGTCTGTGACAGACAACATGGTGATGCCCACTCATCACACCCACTGACTCTCAAGTCCCTTCTGCTTGACAAGGGCCCTCCTCCTCCTGACACTGCCCAGACCCCTGATGGCAGCAGGGGATGAACCAGGCACTGGGAAGCACCACGTGGCCAAGTGCTCCAGGACATGCCAGCCTGGTAGCTTTAGGCCAAGGGCTCTTCTGCCTAGAGGCAGCAGAGAGGGATCTTCAAAACAAGCTGTGGTGATTAGAACCTAGACTAGAGTGCACTTCTGGGAAAGCCTATGCACAGAGGGAGCAGCAGGGTGGCCGGGGAAGACCCCGACCCAAAGAGCTCCATCTGCATTCACGCCACTCAGGGGCTTTCCTCTGTGGACTTCTCGGCCGGCTCTATCTTAAGTCAGCATTGAGGAGGATACCTGGGGCTTCAAACAGGCAAACAGCACCAGGCAGGATCCATGACCCAGGGTCTCTGCTAAGGCAGAGAAGAAAGGCCGGGACAGCCACCACACAACATGCCCCGTGGAGACCCAGGATCCACCTGCAAACACATCCCACAGAGCTCTGGAGACCTACAGGCCTGGATGCAAGTCCTGCTTTGATGACCTCCCAGCTGTTTTACCTGGGGCTCAAGTTCCTCCCCTGCAAAACAGGGAATAATAACAGCTGCTACCCAGGAGCTTCTGTGAGGTTCAAGTGAGATACTGCGCGTGAAGCACCAGCTCAGCGCATGGTAAGGGCAGATGCTGGATAACACTGACTGCTCTCATCATCCTTGTCATCATTCATCATCGTGATTACAGAGGAGAAAGCTGAACCCTGCAGCCCTGACGGGGTCCTAACAGGCCCACTCCTGCCACCAGCCCTCTCCAAAGCATAGCCTTATTTCCGGCAAAGCAGAGAAGTGGCAAAGAACAGGGCCTCACACAGCCCCACACATCCATGTACAAGCTTCCCAGCCCTGTTCTTCAAGAGCCCTCAGAGCACGCCAGCCCGTTCCACTCCAGATCTGACAGCACGGCCACTGGCTGCACCAGGAAGGACTGCAGCCTCCTGTCCCTACAGCCTCCACCCACGGCAGAGCTGGGGAAGCCAAGCAGTGGGGTGCTTGGGTCCCTAAAGGCCAAGGATACTAAGAAGGCCCAGCAAGGGCACGGAGGCTACAGGACAGCCCCAGGCTCCCTATATAAAAGTTGAGCAGAGGGCATACCAGATCCACCCAGTGATTCTGAACAGCACGCCCTGTCCTCAGCCCCACAACCAGGAGCTGCATTCTCAGATTCAAGGAGCCAAAACCAAGGCTCAAGCACAAACCAGGCCAGGCTCCCCCACAGTGCCATGATACTCCTATCCCAAGGTCAAGAGGACCAGGGGCTCTGACAGGCTCTGCTCACACCAATGACTGATGACACCCTACCTGTCCACGGCTAAAGAAACAGAGAAACACAGGAGGCGGGGTTTGATGGTTCTGACCCAACCCCCAGACCAAAATGCAGGCAAGCACCCCGCCCTCCTAGAACAGCTTACTGCCAGTGCCCTGTAGGCTGCCCCTCTGCCCACCGAGAGCCCTGCCTGCCCCCAGCTCTGCAACCAACCCCGATCGTTTGTCACAGCACCACGTCCCATGGATTGCCCAGAGCTGCTGCAGCAGGCAGTGTTATCAATGTCATCCCACTTAATCCTCAAGCAGCCCCACAGAGACTCTCTGGGGTGAGACAGAATTCCAGTGCAGCGCCTGAGTAAACCCACATAAAGCTAACTAGCAGGCTCCTCAGAACCCTGGAAAGCAGTAAGTCCCACTCTGAGAGTTGCGGAAGCTTCTTGCCTCTACAAACTCCAGCTCCAAGACCAGGATGCAGCACAGGTGCCACCACTGGGCTTTCAGCCTCCAGTCCTAAGAACCCACAAACATGGAGATAGAAACTCCAGTCCAGGTTACAGCAAGCAGAGCTTAGAACTGTGCTTCCCAGTACCAGGGTCAGAACCACAACTCAATACTATGAAAATCCCTTCTTGCTCCAGCAGATACCTCCAAGATAGGATGCCCTTTACCTTCCTCAAGTGAGGCACTCAGTGGCTTCCTACTCGGCATCTGCTCACTGCAGGATGATCTGATTTTCTGCCCGGGTTTCATAGCAAGTTCGCCTCCCTTGGCTGCCTTCGCTGCCTCAGAACTCTTCTGGGTAGGAGAGCTCCGGGCTCTTCCCCAGCCTGAAACAGGCTGGAACGCTACTGCAGTAACTATGGAGAGAAAAGGACGCAAAATTGAACGAAGGCAGCAACAGCAGGAACTCCAGAGAGGAGGCCGACCCACACAGGACCCGCTGAGGTACCTATTGGCTTCTGGCTTGGTGGACATGGACATGTATCACACTGGTGACAGGGCCACCAAGTCACTACGACAGTGACTGCGGGAAGGGCGCTCTGTTTTGCACATCAGATCAGCAGAGGAGGAAAGTTATACAACGCCCAGGAAGTGCATCAAGACTGTGCTGTGTAGGCCGTGCACAGGGGCACACTACACCAGCTGATAGGCAATATTCGTCTTCTAAAAGCCAAGCTCCTGAAAACAGGCACACAACTGACCCAACCATCACTTTGGAAGCTCGGTCCGAGGCACTAGCATTCCAAGATGCTGCCACAGGAGCCCGCCCTAATGGCACTGTCACAGCAGCACTGCCCCGAAGAGGAAGCATCGGGCACTGGGCTTGCGAGAAACAGGGCAGCAGAGCTGCACCCTGAAAAGCTCCTCAGATGGCGACAACAGCATTCGCTAGCAGGGACAGATGGACACGGCCAGTTTACCCAGTACAAAACGCAGAGGGGCACGTGTATGGACACAAGCACGTGCCTGCTGATCCGCACAGACCAGGGAGAATGCCTGGAAGCTGCCCTCATGACCCTGTGACCTCTGCCGGACCAGGGCTCTTCAAGCTACTTTCAATGAGAAACAAACAAA